AACCCTAACCATTCTATGATTCTATGAATTTTGAGTGATGACATTTATTTCCATGATAGAACACTGAGTAATGGGAAAGAAAATATGGACTAGTCTATTGTTGATATTCAAGAAGACATAAACCAGCATGAAACTTACTGTCAAGTAATTCATTATCAGCCACAATTCAGCTTTGCTATAAGGATAAGGTAGAGAGGAATCTTAATCTCCATCATAAGGAAGGCATCAAATGATAACATTTAGTATTGCCTTTGGGGAAAAAAAAGTGTTTGCTGTCTGGTCACTTACATTGTACCACAAAACTTGAAGCTGTGTAAAATTCTTACTTGTATTTTGAATGATGAAATTGTAATGTGAGCTCCATTTGCATTTAGGAAAAAGGGAAAGCAACTATAGTTTGGAGAGGATACATGCACATAAACAACAACAGTCACTTTCATTTGTTTTTGCAATTTGTGGCATACTTTATCTGAAAGCTAAGATTCCTAAATGCTAACAGTCCTAGCTTCTGAAGCTGCCTAAATTCTTGCATGAGACTGTTCAGCTCTTCCATGCATCTCTTTTGATGTATTTTCCCTCACAATACCATCTTTTTCCATTTTGAAAGATGAGAAGGGAATAATAATTCAGACTCGTATAAAAGTACACGAGACATTTATAGCAGTGCAGGGAAATGAATTTGGGTGTCTCAAACATAAATAATGAGCTTGAAGTGCCTTAAACAAGTGAGACGATTTTGCCCTTTTGTAGCTCTTTCTAGTAACCCAAAACTATTGTATCACAACTCAACTATAAGAGAGTCAAGGTCACACCAGGCTGAGTTAGGACAGTAAGATGTTTTCAAGCAGTCTTGCCAGTAGCCTCGTCTCTGCTGCAGCAGGTGTCTTTTGAAGATGTTACTAGTCATACCATTCAAGAAATTAAAATTAGTGGAGCAGGGAAGAAGTAACAGCTGAAGTTTCCCTAAGGTATCATAGTTCAGAAACTTATTTACATTAAGACTTCTCAAATGTACTGCTGAGAACACTTCTCTAAAAACAAATTTCTGTGAAAGGGCACTCCCTGACAAAACTTCTTTTATTTCTGATTATAGTTATGAAGTAACATCAACTTGAGGAGACATCAGTGAATATCCTTATAAGTAACAGTGGGTGTCTTTTTATGTATTTACTAATTCCAAACAACCCCCCTAGTGACATATCTTCTTAAAATTGTAATTCCATTTCCGATTTGATAGTGCGTATCAGTTTTAGAGATTGGTAGTAACTATGTTCTTTCTAGCCATTTTCCACTCTTCTGAGAACTCTCTTATTAAATAGGAAAATATTATTGTCACTGTGAAACTAACCGAAGTATCTTCTAGATAATTATTTCAGTTTAATAGATAAGAAAACAGAGTTTGGCAGAAAAAGCTCTGTTAAAGCAAAATTTCTACAAAATGGAAATACAGAATACAAAAATATTTTTCTTCTTTATTGTGTATGTTAGTGATATTTAATTTCCTGCTTCTTCCTTAATACTATCTTAAAAGAAATAGTTACATTTGTCCTCTTTTCTCACTACTTTCCTTCCTCAAGGGCTAATTAAAAAAACATTACTGGAACAATGTTTTTCTAGTCTTTTTTCAAGATTCTATACCTCATTCTGTAGCTTGCTTCTTTTAATGATTAGCATCAGTAGGTGCAATTTGTTACTACGTTTAGTGTTAGACTTCTGCTGTTGCCATGTCCTCTTGCCAAAATGCAGAAGGCAGGTTTCCGTGCTTTGTGTTGCCCTTTAGGAGTCACCAAATATGACGCGTTTTTTGAGTCTCTTGTCTTCACCTTCTTCAAACAAATGTAAGTTTTCAAAGTGGTACATGTAAGTTTTCAAAGTGGTACAACTAAACAACTTTTTCAGTGACTGTGGGAAACAGTCAAGATGTGTAAATTACTGTGCATATATTCTTGCAGTTATGACCTTGTTGCTACTTTGAACACACTGATAAACGTTCCAGCACTTTCTAAGAAAGTCTGTCCTGAAAAGTTAAACAGTACTGTTAATACTGCTTGCTCCAGTTCTTCAGAAACTCTTTAATTTTAGTACCTAATCAATAATAGGATGATGCTCAACTTGAGAATAAATCAGCTCTATAGTTACACTTTTTTCAGCTACTTTACATTGGTTGGGGTATTTGAAGCAGGGTGCTGGTGAGGTGTTTACTGTTTTACAAGCCACAAAGGAAGATGGTTCCTGCCCTTAATACTAGAGCTTATTACTAAAACAAAGAATGCATGCTGTACTAGAAGATGCATGCAAAGGTAACCAATTTAAAGCATGTGAGCAGTGGTAGTTTAAGAACTTGAAGCTCCAGCTGAGCTAGAACAGAATACATTAAGCAATATTCTGCCCAAGTTGCTTAGGACTGCCCACTAACTAGTCTGATATGTAACTTTGCAATATTTATAATTATTTCTGTCAAGACTGCATATAAGCTAAATGTGTTTAAATCACAGCTTTTCAGTATGGTATTTGCACACATACCTGTGTATGGGGTGGTGGGGGGAGTTGCCATCTTTCTACAAGGTGTCTGGATGCTACCACTGTACAAACAGTATGTAAAATCCTACCCTATTCTTTTAAAAAAAGAAGGGGGGGGGAATCCCACCACAAAACAGATGTATTTGGGAGTGCTTTACAAGAATACCAATGAATGAGTTCAATTAGATGTTCCTATTGCTTGTTTTCATTGGTTGAGTTGAGCTGAGTAAAGCCGGTTGTTTTGAAAGCTTTCACACTATAGCAGTTTTCTTGAAAGAGAAGAACCAGCTAAGTCATGAAACAGGAGTCACAATTTTGTCAGTGTGGCTGACAGAAATATATTTTCTGCAAACTTTTTTGATGTGAATTTCAAATCTTGATTGTACATTTAAATGCACAACTTTTAATTCATTTGGTGTAAATATAGTTCAGAGACACTCTTTTTAGGAACAGGGTCCTAAGTTACCACAACCCTAAATAACTAAGAATATAAAATTATTATGCAGTAGGAGCTAAGAATTGAAGTGCAAGTGATTTTTGTGTATTTGGACAATGCCAAATGCAATACCTTTACCTTTAGAAAAGTAAAAAAGAAAAAAATCCTTGGCACCTAATCTCAATTCTGTGCAAGGTCAGAACAAGTCTTGATTATTGGAGGTCAAGAGGAAAATGGCATACAACTCAGGACAACCTCTGACAAAACAGAACACGCTAACTAGCCTGGCAATTGAAATTCATCTAGTAGAAGCCCTGTCCATCTAGTATATCAGGACTTCAGTAAGTCATTTAACACCATTGCTCAAGATACCACTCCTTCCCTACCCCTACACACACACACACACACACACCTCAAATGAATTAAAAGATTAGGAAGTAGTAAAAGAATCCTAGGCCAGAGTGGGTAAACCCTGATGAGAGACATGGAGGATTAGTTACTTGAAGAATGTCTATAGGCTGGTTTTGAGAATAAATTTGATATTTTCCCTGATTTTGGTTAGAAAAAGTAGGAGGGAGATAAGAACTATTCATGCAGATCAGCTGGAGGAGGACATTCTCAACAAATGTATAATTTGTTGACAAATACAAAAGTAATGTGGAATCTGACCATGGTGATAACGTTTTTCACTTTCATATGTACATTTCAGACTTCAGCTTCTGGCTTTTGCTTTGCTGGTGCTCTTGCAGACTCTCAAAGAAAAGATGCAAGCATGCCCTCATCAAAGCTGGTCAGGGTAATGTCTTGCTCTGCGTAAGTCTGGAAAGTGCAGTTCTCCATAGACAGAACAGTGAAACTCTATTCATGCATTGTTGTTAAAGGCACTAAGTAACCTGTATAGGAGGGTTTTTTCCTGCAACATTTGAGAGATCCTCTAAAAATATTGAATGCAGCCTTTTCCAGTGGAAGGAATCTTTCATATTGACTGTGCTACTTTTTAGTGTAGAGCAGGATAGTTTAGTGACAGAATTCTCAGGTGAAGCTGTCAAAGATAAGCACACAAAATACATTACAACTAATTAGTATTTCTTCCTTTTGAAAACTAAAATATCTAACAAAAAAGCCACTAAGCCTAAAGTAGTTTCTGCAACAGAACAATTCTGATTCAACACAAAGGAAGCTAGTCAACTTTAGTGGGTAAATTAGTCAGTGCTCTAACCAGTATATTAATCTTTCAGAAGGATATCGGGGTGAATGAAATGGTAGGTAGAAATAAAAGCTACTAAGCTAAACTTGTAACTTTATTTATATGTTCTTATTTAAACAGCATGTGTGGGGTGTCAGACTTGTATTTTGCCAAGTTCGTTCTTTCTGATCAGTGATAGATGCTGAGAGCTTTCTTTAGTATGCTTATATATACACATATATATATGTCTTGAAACCTTACTTTTCCTTTATCATAGGTCCAGTTGTTTACGTTTTGGATCTTGCAGATCGACTGATCTCAAAGGCATGCCCATTTGCTGCAGCGGGAATAATGGTGGGCTCTATATACTGGACAGCTGTTACATACGGAGCTGTGACAGTGATGCAGGTACACATGTATTCCCTCTTTTTACCATCCTTGAAAGCAAGTCTTCTAAAGAAAAAGTCAATTAAGACTCATCTTTCCCTGGCTTAAAATGTACTTTAGCTGCCATCAGCATTTCCGGTGTAGTTAACAAGTGAATTCAAGATAAGTGGATAGAAAGCTTTTCACTTTTAATAAAGCCAGCTATGCCTGTTCAAACCTAGTTCAGTCTGCAACTAACACAAATCCCTACTACTGCAGCTGGCTGCCCTTTGTATGGCAGGCTGGTCAACCCACTTCTATTCTTACAAAAAAGGTGCCGTTACTACCTAACTACTACTAATATGTAGTCTAATTCTTCAGAGAAGACATGAGACTAATCTCTTTTTATGTGTAGAAAAATTTTGCTGGTAGCATTCAAAGGGTTGAGTCATGGTGAATTTTTTCAGTCCTACCGCTTTTTTCATTGTATAAAGGAAAATGAATGCTCTGAGTGATGCATTTCATTCCTAAACAACAAATGCAAAATACTGCAAATTAATAGTATAGTCTTTTAATAACTTCAGACTGTATCATTACTTGAAAGGGAAAAATATTTTTCCTACTTCTGTTCTTGTGAACTTGCTATTCTAAATATAAAAATAATGTTGGTTGTAGACTATTAATTATGCAAAGACTTGTTCAACTACAAGAAAAAAGTTTTCATAAACTGTAAAACTAGGAGGACCTTTGTTACCATTTTGTGGATGTATCAAGCCCATAACCTGTGATTTACCTGAAAGCATAAAAGTATTTCTGATGCTAATTCAGTTGTAGGCAGAATTAACAAATTTGAATACTAATAAGTATTCCTCTACATAGTTCCAATTTTATATATACAGCCTAGTCCTTATCCATTTAAGTCACATGGCACTACTTTTTCTTGAATTGTGATAGTGCCCTGCAGTTCTACAAATCACTCCATGTCAGGATTGTGTGCTATTTTGGTTCTGTTTGTACGTGATCTCATAGCAGAAATGTATGTGACAACCACTTGAAGCGGAGCCCAAATAACTTGATGCAGTCTCCCTGGTACCAGTGTGGCCAGGGTCAAGTGGCTGCCTGGGTGATGTATAATGACTTTCAATGCCTCCTCCATTCCAGTGGATGAGTCTCTGTATTACAGAATGGTATGCTTAGGAATTTACTCATCTGCTAATTTGTTCTTCTTGTGGCCCTTACAGGAACACTGCAACCATCTGTAATACTACAACTCTGTGAAATCTACCAGTCTTTATCTCCTTGCTCACTGTTACACTGAGCCTTTTTCTGTAGGAACTTACATGACCTTTTTAGCTTCTCTAGAAGTACATAACCAAATGGAAAGATAATTGGTCCTTTCTGTAGTTGTTTTGCTCTTGAAATGAGGATCTGTCTAAACATTAGTTTAGACAGCTGGTAAAATCCCAGGTATGAAGACTTAGGTATTTTCCTCTGAGTTAATGTTCTTTTGATCATACTGATGGCACACTGAGTAAAAGAATAATTTTTGCTTATAATAGAGGAGATTAAACTGGGAGTGGAGGGAAACTGTTCCACCCCTTTTGCCACCCCACACTTGCTAGGTTTAGTACAACTTGTTTCCTGATGCAGTTCACACTCCTTTCCTTCAATGGAAGGGCCACGGAGAAGCACAAAAGCTGTTTTTAAAGGTTAAGCTTCAGGTGAAGAAAAATAAACACAGAATTGACATTGTGACTCCAGTGGTAGCTAAGTCAGTAACGAATCATATGGGGTTACTGAAAACACAGAGAAATAGTAATCTAAAGCAGAAAAGACAAGATACTGAGGATTTTTTTGATGGACAGGGACTATAAGGGAGAAAAAGGATAGTGTCAGGCATCACAATTTAGGTGGAAGATAGTGAAGAAGCTGGAAGACAAATGCTGAATATTTTTAGAAGGAATAATCTTTTGGCAGCAACAATATTGTTTGCCTGTTTTCTTTGTTGTATACAACATAACTTTCCGTTAGAAGAGTAAAATGGAATGATTTTTCAAAGCAAGGCTAAAAAATTACAGTTTGAAGGTACTGTGGTATGTTAACCCAGTTTCTTCCCTGTGTCCCACCTATTCCAGAAGTACTGCTTCTTTAAAATTTTGCTATTTTTGCATGTTCTTACCACCTAATTCTAAGTTTCGTGCAAGTGAAGACCTGAGAGCTTTTTGCATTTGTGGGGAAAACAATGAAAACACATCAGAAAATCCAGTGCCTGACAAATATAGTAATCGGTATTTTAGTGTTTTTAGTCTTCCTGGATTCTTATGGAAAAAGTCATGAAAGAGACCATTCTTTCTAGAAGCACTTCAAGGCCTTTGTTAGCATTTAGTAATTCTTAAACTGAGACAGCTCTAGAGGATATCTACCACATTAAGTTCTTTTTTGTCCTCAGCCCTATTAGAGTTACTTATTTACATTAAAAAGTATGTACTTTTTAGGAAAACATAACACACTGTTCTGTTACAGTTTTACTATATACGTTTTACAAACTGCAAAGTCTGATTATTTTTTTTATGTGCCAGTAAAATGTTTAGACGCATCAGTAATGACTGTCCTTCAAAACTGTAGCACTAATCACATTTAAAAATAAGGTACAGATGAAGATATGCAGCTATTTCCACTACAGTTGAAAATAATGTAATTCTTCCTGCACTGTCTAGAGAAGCAATACTTTTTAATACTCTCATCTCTGTTGCATATGGTATTCCTAAATAACAGATTTTTTATTAAAACATCCTGAGATACTTGCTATCCATTTATTCTTTAAAGAGTAGTATCTAATCAATTTCTGAGTGTAGAATTAATCATTCTAAAATTGTAAATTCTTTTATGTGTTTTGGAAAGGATGCTATTTGGATATTTCAGATGTTTAAGCTTTTACTGATACAGAAGCATGTGAAACTTTTCTTGAGATAGTAAGCAACTGTGTTACAGCGTTCTGCAAAATTAATAACATACAAACTAGGGTTGGTAGCTTGTCTGCGTTACACTTGATAAACAACCAAGGATGCAAAGGGAAAATGGAATACGTTATGTAAATCAGCATTGTTTTTCTTCTCTTTAACTTAAAATGCGTGGGCAGCCCCAAACAAACTAGACTTTTTAAAAGTGTTATTCTTTGTTCAGTTGTGGTCTTTGCTTGTCAACTATATGCATATTTACCAGGTTGTGGGTCACAAAGAAGGTCTTGACGTCATGGAGAGAGCTGATCCTTTATTTCTTTTGATTGGACTTCCCACTATCCCAGTCATGCTAATATTGGGCAAGATGATTCGTTGGGAAGACTACGTGCTCAGACTGTGGCGCAAATACTCTAATAAGCTACAAATTTTGAACAGCATATTTCCAGGTAATGTGATTAAATTTAAAAGGAAATATCAAGCTTGAATTTGTGCCTTTTAAGTGATGGGGAAAGGTGAGTAGTTTTTGCCATTCTTAAGGTGCTAACACCTTCCTTCTATTTTACATTCAGTCTATTTAGATTGTATAGCACATAGTGAGAAAGGTGGGGCAGGAGGAGCAGGAGCATGGTTTCAATTAAAGCCTTAGTAACAAAACAAGCTACTGAAAATCATGGGTCTTATTTGAAAGTAAAAATGAATACAGTCATTTAATGGAAACAATATTCACTGAAAAGAGGGATAGTTCTCAAAGCAGTTGGGCTATAGATTTGTAACGGAGTTGGGAGGTGCGCACTAATGTGCTTTCTGTGTTCCATTTGAGGTAGCGGCTATGTAATCTTTTCCTCCTCTACTCTCACCCCTTTAGGCATTGGATGTCCAGTTCCTCGTATTCCAGCAGAGGCCAACCCTCTGGCAGATCATGTCTCTGCTACGCGTATTCTGTGTGGAGCTCTAGTTTTCCCTACTATTGCCACGATAGTTGGCAAGCTGATGTTCAGCAGTGTTAACTCAAACTTACAAAGGACAATCTTGGTAAGATTCAGTATTGTTTGTTTCATAAAAAATTATAATATGGGAATATGAAGTGTTGTGTTGTGGGGGGGGAAAGGAAAAGTAAAAAGGAACATAAATTGATCTAGAACTTAAGAGCAGCATTTGATTGAGGGAAGGTTGTTTTTTTTTAAGGTTGCCTATCTTGGCAGTGGGCAAGCATTGGGTGTGTGAGAGACTTTGTCCTTATGACTGAAACTAATCTCAGTTCTAGACAAGGCTGAAACTTATATGTGGTACTAGGCAGATCTTAGCAGTAATTAAGGGTGATAATGAAGATGAGGAACCAGCATCTTCTACGAATAATCTCTGCAGGGGAAGACTGGGCTTTATATTACCAACCTTTTCATATTAGCTTCTGTTTACTAATTCTTCGAGAGAATCCCTTTGTTCTTTATTTTAATAAGGAGAGAAAAATAAACTCTCTGTAGAAGTTGAATGAAGGGGGGAAGGCCAAGGAGAGGAGAAAACATCTTCCTTTGTGAATAACCTCTCTGGCTTGCAGCCTTTCAAGGGGAAGCACACCAAGTTTCATAAGGTGGTGTCCTGCACCCCTCTCTTCCATATGGAAGAAACAGTGATATTATAACTGTTCATGCAGACTAAAGGCTTCTTAGCGTCTCTTCTTATTTGGAAGACTTGAGATAAGCATATTGTAAAACTTTCTGGGGAAAAAAAATGTTTTACAAAAACCAGATTTCATTTCACTCCACATCTGCTTTTGGCAAGTGGCCTTTTTCACAGTCTGAATATGGAATGGTAATTAGTGTTATTCTCTGTGCCATGTATAGTATAATATTCAGAGAAGGGAGGAAAGCAGATACATATCTGCATTTTACTTTGTTCTTTAAATAGGATGTATTTGGATTTTTTTTTTTAGAATATTTGTCAGACTTCCAAAAAAAAAAAGCTTTCAAAAGGTTTTATAGATGCAGTACATAATCCCTTTAAGTAAAATTAACCTCTGTAATAGTGCGTTGTGACAGAAAACTTTGAGCTACTCACTGGGAATTGTCCTAATTAGTTAAACTTCAAAAGAAAATGCTATACGATTAGAAAATAGATCTTCTTTGACCAGAATTTTTTTTTTAAAAGTTATTTGCAATGATATGACACTGAACTGTGCAGGTTTTCAAAATATCTTTTTATTTCAGGGTGGAATTGCTTTTGTTGCTATAAAAGGAGCTTTTAAGGTTTACTTCAAACAGCAGCAATATTTGCGCCAAGCTCACCGCAAAATTTTAAATTATCCTGAGCAAGAAGGAGCATAAGGCTGTGATCTCCAGATGTCGTACAGTCTCACCTAACAGGTTTCCATGTTATATTGGTCCCATCATTATTGCACAGTAGTGGAGAATTGTGATAAGTTGCTGCTCCTTTTTTTCTTTTTCTTTAAATATAATAAAGCACTGTCTTGTGGCAGGGTAAATCCTTTCAGCGACCACTGAACCTGAGAATGTGACTTGGCTTTCATTATTTTTGGGTATTTCTGTTGGGCAACAGGCTTCTGAATTATTTTCTTTGAGCCAATATGCTGAATGGGAAAAAAAGCATCAATTACAGAACAAGAACATTTTAAACTGTGTACTTGATGTAGGCTATATCCAAATGCCTTTTCTTTATGTGTTTTCATACCCACGCTATCATCCAGTTCAGCATTTCACACAATGAAGGGAGCTTTTTTTAGAAAGGAAATGTGAGTCATTACCAAGGAGAAGTAATTGTGGGACATCAGTCAATAAAGATTTCTGTAGTTTTTGCTGGTATCAAACAGGGAGTGTAAAATACTCAAATGACTGGTCAGAGGAAGCAGAAGATAGATCACTCTCTACAGGACTCGTGTGTCAGCTTTAGCCACCTAAGTACTAGGTGTTGGAATTAGCAAGGCTTCCAGGTGACTGTTCTATTACTGAGAATATTTACTGTCCTGTTGTATCTCCTGCAGTGCCTAGTGTTGTTTTCTCATGGTTCTTTTACTGTTTTGTAAACAGTGCTTGATAGCATTTTTTTCCTCCAGGGTATAATAAGTAAATTTCAATTGCTTATTTTGTAGTTAAGTACTAGAGCACTTGTTTAGTTTTCATGTTCCTTTTGATTATGTAAATATCCGTACAAGTACAAAGAGCAGTAGAAGTGTGAGAAAACAACACTGGACACTAAAGCTACTTTTAAACTGACAGACTAAGGCATCCTTCTGAACTTCCAGACCTGGGTGTGTGACTCAGCTCTGTACCAGGGCTAGGCTCTCTTCTGCCCACACCAGCTCTGGTGGAAGGGTTGGCTGGAAGGAGGTGACACGACACTTGGGCTACCTGATCCGAACCTGGTGCAGGCTGGACACTGTTAAGGCAACTTGGATCCATTCTGTAAAGGACTAAAGGATAAATAATAAATGTGTAATAAACTAAGTTTATTTCCACGCTAAGCTTTACTGTTACAATATGTTCCAAGTAGCCAGCTGAGGGAAACTTTAGCACTTCAGTTATTTGATGTATTTATGAACTTAATTTCAACAGAAATTAACTGGTTTGTGAAGTTATATTTTGACAAACATAATACGGCCATTTAATATTAATACCAGACCTAACCTAGATTTAGTACTTGAGGTTTTTTCTTAACAACGATTTATTTGTTTTTCTCAAAGTTTTGGTTTGGTTTGGGTTTTTTTTCCTTGTTCATATTAGTATGTCAACTGCATGGAGAAAGATTTAAAAAAAAATCTTTTAGTGGAAGTATTCATAAGTAAATGTTTCTTTTCATCAGAAATGAAGTAAAAGGAGAATGAACTTCATATTTGACTGCAATAATGTATGTTAGAGAAATTCAAAATATGGTACCTTTTCTATAGTATGTTTATCTTAATTACTGAGATGTAATATTTTAGAACTGTACAAAAGTGTATATAATGGCCAACTAGTATTCAAAAACTATACAGGTATTGAAAATTATACATTCAATCAATATCAAATACTTTTGAGGTTCTTGCTGTAACTGAAGAATTACTATAATCTTGTAAGTCTGCTGATTATATTTGTCTTAGTGGCCTCACTTTTATATAAAACTCTATTTAGAGTAGCAACTTGTGACAGTTGCTGCTTTCTGTAAGATAGTCTTCAAACAATATAATATGTATTTCTTACAGAATTCCTCATTTCAAGAAAACAGCTTTTCAGTGGTCTTCACTGTATATATTTCCAACCAATTTATTACTGTTTTTTAAAGTCTTATGAAGAATTGAATGATGCAAATTAGTGGATTTGAGACTTGTTCCATGGGAAAGCTCATTGTCTTCTCTGGAAGTTAAAGCTATTGTAAAAATACGATTATAAAAATACCGTATGGATTATAAAATTATTTCACCTGAGTGGCAGAAGGTCATTAGTCTGTTGTAAATCTTGTTTTTTAAGTATTGCAAATTATAGTTATGTTGAATTAGGTTGAATAAATATTTTTTACACTCACTAGTGTATTTTGTCAGTTGAACAAAAGACTTCTGAATGAAAACTGTTTTGTTTTAATGCATATTGAAGGATTTATATAATCAATTCTAAGTCAATAGCCTAAAGAAATATCTTGGGGATGAAGGAAGAATTACTATAACACTTTAAACTTAAATTTACTTTTTTTTTTTTCTTCTTCCCTCCCTAGTGATCAATAAATGATGTAGGGGTATGCATGTCTCAAACATTTAAAGCAAAAGAATTGTATCAACGTGAACGACTTCAGGTAATATGGAACTGGGGTTGTGAGTTACTACATCTCTCTGGGTTGGCTGATGTGCAGCATTTATTTAGGGAATACACTGATCCATCTTCATTGAGAAGGATAATACTGGCCATAGGAAGGATTTTTTCACTAATGGCTAATTTATGTCGTGTTACTTTCAGAACAAGGAATAGGAAATGATATCTAGCATTTCGTGGTGTACTTTCTTATCTGTAACTTGGCTTCTCTTAGCATTCCACGACATCAACATAAAGGGCACGAATTATCTGAGCTGTGATTATGTGACTACATAGGAGATGCTTCTCCCCTTCTCTCTCCCCTCTTACCTTAAACTCTTAAATTTAGAGGGAGCCTTGCTATACTTTTCACTATTTTTTTTTGCTGGAATGGTGTTTCCCTTGCAAAAACTTTTCTTTGTAACAATTTGCTTGAGTTGCCTGGTATGAAGTATATTAATTCTCTCCTCATGTGGAGTCGTTTCTCAAAGGTTAGCTGTCTACTGTGGTTATCAGAGAAGGATCCAACCATCCAGCTATTTAAGGCCTCTCCAGCATTTAAAGTATTTCTGTGCTTGTAAGAAAAGACATGCTTAGGTATTGTGACTTCAGTCACAATAATCTATTTTAATTGAGGCCACAATTTTTACGAGAATTTCAGCTGCATAATGTTTATCATGGCAGCTGTGAAGATTCCCCTTTTTCTAAAAGCATACTGTGGGACTTGGACAAGTTCATGGAGTAGGTGTTTGAGGGTTGTTTGGTGTAGCTTTTTACTAGCTGCTTTTTAGAAAAGTTTTTAAGCACAGACAAGTATGTCTCTTTGCATAGTGTTTTTTATTGATGGAGAGAACTAGAAGTAGAACTACAAAGGTCATGGATCCATTTACTGTTGCACCACAAATCTGGCTTTTGGAACCCTGTATCTAATGTTCTATGTCCATACCACTTTTTATTCAGGTCTTCGTTTTTGAAGAACTAGGATCCAAATTGATTAATGCATCACTGAGTACAATCATGTTATCTGTTCTCATGAGAAATGCTGTACTAACAATTCCTGCTTCCCCATTCTAAAGTACAAATGCCAGTTTCACTAACAAGATTGGTTTTGGAATTCTTTTCTAGTAGATAGCTGCTGCTGAAACTTGTGTTGATGTGTATTGTGGTTGTTGGTTTTGTTTTGTGCTTGGGTTTTTTTGTTGGTCGTGTGGTGGTTTGTTTTTTTTAAAGCATCCTCACAGCCTCTCAATACCTGAACTACTGTCTCCTAACCCTGCGGACTGAAAAGGCACATCTCCCACTTACTGTGATTTGGGGAAAGATTCTTACTTTAATCTGTTTCAACAGTTTCCAGCATAATTGGGGAAAATCAGAAGCCAGGGTTCCTTAATGAGTTGGTTCAATTCCTGTAGGCACTGAGGCCAAGACTTCTTTCTTCTTTGCTGTTTAGCAGGTTGCTCTCTTGGAATGAGCTGTAAAACTAGAAATATTTGTGCCAAAGTTTGCGCAGCATTTCAACCATTCAAATTTTTTATGCTTTACTGATGTATAGAAGTCCAGGGTAGCTTTATTAATTCATTTCAAGGCCTTATTCAAGAGCCTGAGTAATATATCTCACTTCCCAGAAAGGCAACAGTCACAAGACGTGCGCAAAGAGAATATTACTGAGAGTGGAGGGGGGAAAAAAAAGCCCAAAAAACCCCTGTTCTGTAAACAGGGATGAACTATCTCCATTAGATCATGGTCCCTCTACCTGAAGAAGGTTTGAAGATCTGTGGCCTCTTTGTCCATTCTTGCCAGTTAGTTATTCACATGCTCTGGATATTTAATTGCTTTTGCATCTCTGAAGATTGTCAGCATAAAGCAGTTATTGCTGGTTTAAGTATACTAAGTAGTTCAGTAGAAAAATTCCGTTGCAGAACCATTAAAAGCAAATAGCAGACATGACTTGAAACTGCCTCAACTAAACAGCCCAGCAGCACCTGTCAAAACATATCTTGCAGGCACCTCATTTAATGCTGGATGACTAAGCCATGGAAAAGCAATTGCCTAAGCAGTGGGCCTCCACAGGAAGTACTATGCTTATTTAAAAAAAAAAAAAAATAAAAAATTACGCAACTTCTTTCTAGCTTCAGACCACTCTGCGATACAGCATGCACAGCTTGATGTTTTGGGTCGTTTTTTTCAATTGCTCCTCCACTCTTACTACAACTTAGTAACACTTCACTGCAGCTAACAAGCTGATAAAGGAACACACTGAGCTGAGTATTTACTGTATGTCTGCCACAAATCATTACAAGATGCTAATACACTACTCACTACCTCTGTAACAGCCTCTGCCTACCACTTTTCCAGATGCTTCTCATGCACAGAAGATAGAATACATAAGATAGCACAGAATCAAAAATATTTTTATTTTAATAAAGAGTGGGTTTTGTTGTTTCTGCAGCAAAATGGTAGCTGGTTCAGAAGTGTTTGACTAGCTTGACGGAACAAAATCTCTACCACCTTACATCCCTTGTGCAGTTCCAGGTTAAGATCCTATGGGTAATCCTAGTGGTAGTTTGCAGCATTACTCCTGCATGAGCTACTTGCATTACTCTGTTTCAAGTAACATGACCACCTGCTTCTCCAGTATACTTCCACTTCAGGGATTTTTATGTGTTTTGGTTTTTTTTAATGCAAGACAGATGGATGAGAAGCATTGCAAAAACTTTATGGAATGCATGTTACATGATGAAAGTCTTTCCACTTAGCATAAATTAAATACTGTGCAGTGCAACTGACCTTCCTGCATTGCCAAGCCCCATCTCCTGTTGCAGACACAGAATTGTGCTATGCATTTAAGCCACATACCACCTTACTGGTAGCTAGGCTTCTTTTCCCATTGCATTTCAAAGATGAATGAAAATGCAAACTAACCAAAGGGGTAAATTCACAAATGATTTTGAAAGTATGGGTGCTTGCATTTCTTTGTTTAGCTCTAGATTTTTTGTGAACAGAGATGTTCTATTTTCCTTTCTAAAGGGGCTCAAAAGTGAAAGCTTTTCTGGTTAATAGGTGGTGCAATTCATTACATGGTTTTATTTTATTTTTTAAATACGTTTCTAACATTTACATGTAGTTACTTATATGCCAAATGACAGAAAATATATGTGTATTTCCTCAGCCTTCAGATCTTAAGCTATTT